CCCCGAATCAGTCATAAGGTCACGAGAATATATAGGAATAATCATTCAACCCGAATTGAGAAGCTCTCTTGATTGTTTCCAAGGTGTCGAAAGGCTTACATGGTGGCCGAGAGAACATATTGGCAATTCACATAAACGAGTTCTCCTTAAGGGCGCTTTTGGATAATTTATTATAGATCAAAAGCCAATTCATTGCTAAGGCCAATCAGAGCGAAGGAAATAAATTCCCTGAGTGACGTGAGTTGTCAATGAGAGAGCCCAGAGTCAATGCAAGAATCAAACAAACTGCCTAAGCAACGGAAAAGCGCGGGTGACTAAGTTGGTCATGCAGAACTGTCTTAGCTCTGAATCTAATTTTGGTTTTATCAGTTGAGTCGATGGTGTAAATTGGCCAACTTAAAGATTTCCAAAGCCGACGTTTCGAGCGTTCAGCCCTTCGTCAGAGCGAAAGAAGAAGGGCTAGCGCCCGAAACGTCAGTTTTAAAATTCTTTACTGTGGCCAATTTACATCATCAACTTAGCTGATAAAACTATTTCGTTATACTCCCCACTGACGCAGCACTCCAGTTTCTTTAGAAACCTTTCCCCTTTGTTCATTTTGCACATCTCTGTTTGGGACGATGGCAGAAGTTTTTTAAACCAATCACAGAGCGAAGATGAGAAATACCAAAGAAGTCCTGGATTACTCTCTGTACGCAATTGAAAATTGCTCATCACATCGTTTTTAATTTCTATAAATAGTATTTTTTCAACCAATGATATCACTTTTTTCTAAACCAAATGTCGATTCCAAAATCTTACACCGATCATCTGAAGTAAAGTGGCGTTTTGGTTTTTTTTTCTTTTTTGCTACCATCTCTTGTCTACATTTTATCACCTGGATTATCATCCAAATTTTCGACTCTTTTTTTTTTCAATTCGCTACCGAAACGTCTAACCGTGAGAAAAGAGCTGAGGTCAGGGAGATTTTTGTTGAAACATTTTCAAATTGTTCAAATTCAAATAGCAACCTCAAAATGGCCGTGTCGAACTGGAACGAGCTGTCAAATGAAAATTACTGCTGAATAAATATGACAACTGATTGAAATCGTGGTACGTGGGTAATTTTGTTTTCATTGGGCTCCATGATTAAAGCAGTCACTAGGAAGATTTCTACGTTTGAATCGCTGGGAAGTTGATGACCTCTGAGGCTATTCTCACAGCGAAAGACTGAGGACAAAGATTATATCTGCTTTGGTTTGTATCTCAGGAAGTTGTCTATTTGGCACCGACAAACGTTACGTCCCATGTTCATTTAGTAAAAATTTACAGCTGTTGCTGTCAAAAGATATAGATTATCCGCTATATTTTACGTGGTAAATGCAACATGGATTAATTCACACGTAGGGTGATCTAAACAGCACCCAAGGTGTTTATTGTTTGAGAGATTTGTTGTGATATGAAAACTGATAATGCGTGCAAGAATGCAATTCAGTTATTATCTCTTTAACCGGTCGTATTTTATCGTGAAATTGATATTTTATTATTGCAAAGCTGATGAATACATGTATGACTGTAATCTGTTGAGATTTTGTATGTAAAACATTGCGTTGAGGTGTCATTAATATTCCGTGTGGCCAATTTGGGAGTCAGTTATACGTGTCGCAATACATGCTCGTCATATCCACTAATCTTGCGTGACAGCCTTGCATGACTTCCTATGTTAAGAGGTGAAATGGAAAATTGTACTGCACATCATTCAAGAGATTCTTTAAATTCATCATATATGTTTGTTGTTGTTTGTTTTTTTAAAGTGAAGTCGAGTTATTTTATCAATTAAATGGACACGAAAGCAGAAAACACAGACGAAAAGGTAAGTTCTTGTGAGGTAGGTGGAATTTTACAGGATATGATGAACAAATTGTATCGCATTCAATCCATCCCAAATCACTTTCATTTATTTGTGTAATATTATATTACTATTTTGGTTGTCATATTAAGCATAATTTTGATGATCATAACTGATCACAGTAGTAAGAAACTTTTTTTAGATAAAAACTAATCTAATCTAATTTTTTTTATCCCTACAGTTAAAAAAAAATTGTAATTTGTTCAGTTATACTTCCCTTTATAGACTATTTTGAGACCCATTTTGATAAATCAACAGAAATTTTTTAAACTTTTGGCATTCTTGTTAAAACGTTAAATAAATAAATATATATATATATATATATATATATATATCTTTTTAACTAAAGACTTCCATTATTTGATATAAGAAACTGATTGAGGATAGAATAAATGCTCTTGTTTAACTTTTATTTTGCAGTGTGACGTTTCTTCAGAAGCTTGTAAACAGTTAGAGTAAGTCTATTTCAAAATATTTTTTTCTGTATCAATTCTGTTACAAGACTGACATGTAGGTAAGACAGGTTTTCAGAAGGTATATTTTAAAATACTTTTAACCTTTTAGATTAGAAAATCAGGAATTAAGAGATAAATTACAGAAGTTGGAAGAGCAAATAGCAGGTATACATTCTAGTGAGAGAGCTGATGTGTCAGTTGCATCACCCGAAGAGAAGAATGGTGAAATACAGGAAACACCTGATAAAGTGAAAGAAAAGAAGGGACAGGATTTGAAATTCTCCCCTGAGCAAGCAAGGAGGTAAATTGAAAAACATCAATCATTCAATCATCACTAATAAAAGTAATATCACTGTGAGCTAATCAGAAAAAAGATCATTTGTTTAATTTTTTAAAGTTTACAATTATTGTTAGTAGAAGTTCCCCAAAACGAAAAATTTCAATGCTAGGGCAGTTACTGATGTTTTGACATCCTGAAAAGAATCCACGATCAGAGTTAGGAGACTGTGATAATGATTTCCATGAAAGTTGTCAAATATCAGTCACTGACAATGAAAAATGTTCCTTTTCATGATTGATCTCACCCATTTGATTAGGTACATGATCAACATTGTTGACTTTGTCATGTATTTAGGGAGGAATTAAATGAAAAAGTCCCTCCCTCGTACATATTTGTAAACAATTGATTAATAATTAAACTGATATTTTGAATTTGCAGACTAAAAGGAGACTATGATGATGTTGTGAAGAAAAATCAAGAGCTTGAAAGCAGAATCCTCCAAATGGTAATCTAAATATAAATTTCCAGCTGCCATTTTTCCTCAATTATACAATTCAGTTGCTCTCAGTTTGATCAGTTTTTCATGCAATTCCCTCAGTGTTGGGGTATTGTTCTCATCTCTAGATAGGATTTTAGTCACTGCAGCCAACTCTTCCCCCCAGCAATAAATCAAGATTCGTATACAAGTTGCTATTATGATCATTTACTCCCATGGGAGAGGTGGTTGCCAAACAGTTTAGTGCACTGGGTCAAGAAGTCACAGCATTTTTTTTTTTTCCTATCTGAACAGTTCATTATGTTGTGATCTTTAGCAAGACATTTTGCTCACAGAATACCTCTCCTTACTCAGGTATTAAATGGGTATCAAACAACTTTCAGGCAAACCTTACAAAACCCTATGGAGGCAAGGATACTAGCTTTAGTGTCCGGAGGACCATTTGGCTTGGATGCAAAATGTTTCTTTTTTCTAACCATTTGTGCTCCTGGGCAGAGAGACTCTGGGAGAGTGAAACATTTTGCCCAACCTATCAACCTGTCCCTTGCCGAAATCCAAGCCTTTTATTTGGAAGTTCATTAGTACCCAGATCACCAGATTGACGTGTCTCTGTGGTAGAGACACAGTCCTTAACCCTTGAACTCCCAAGATCAAATTATTAATTCTCCCCTCTAGTTTCTACAAATTTCCTCGTGAATCAGTTATGAGAACTTAGTGTTAGATCAAGAAAACAACTACATGATAAGTTGGAGTTTTCTCAATACCTGTTTGCAGGATAATGTATGGATATTATAGGGAGAAGTTACATGTTAATCACTTCTGGAAGTTAAAGAGTAAAGCACATGAACTGAATTTCTTTAATGTATCACTACTGTTAACTTAACGCCACTAGGCTAGCGAAATGCAAACAGAGAAAGAGAAGTTTGAGGCAACAGTTGGGGCAATGTCAAAGCAGTTAATGGACTTTGTTGAGAAAATGAACAAACTGGAGGTGGAAGCTGTAAGTTCAAGTTGATCAATTCCTGTTCAATGTCAACTGAATTTGGAAAAACTGTAATTTTGAGCTCAGACCTGTATAATTTTACCATAGATGAAGTACAAGAGAGATTGTTCATTAGTGGTACAGCTTTTGAAGTGTAACCAGTCCCTGGACAGGAAGTTTGTTTCTCAAAAAATGGATACGGTGAGCAAACCTTCCCCTTTACATAGAGTATTCATGATGTATGTTAGATAATAAATTGTAAATAATTTACCATGAATTAATCTTTAAAGTACCATTATTGTAACACTTACTATGATCATTTTCATTATCATTGTACTTATTATTATTATCATGATCATTTTTTTTACTCAGGGTTGTCAAAAATATTTTCATTTACAGGACTGTAATACAAAGTAGGCAGCACTAAACCATGTTATTCCCATGCCATGCTTCTTTTCTGAAAATTGAACCAGAAGCATTCAGAATAGCTGGATGGTACAATTTAAGAATAGAAGGTGAAATGGACCTTTTGTCAGTTTACTTTGGCAACCCTGATGTAACCATAACTCAACATCAATACATTTTCTGTTTACTGGACTGGACTAAACACTGACGTAACTCAATCACAAAAAGCTTGCATACAGGATTTAGGTGGAGGTCAATCAGACCTTAGGATTTAAGGGTTTGAAATGAATGTTTAATATTTTATTAACTTCTTTCGTTCTTTTGTGCTTTTCTAAATCCACAGTTACCATCAGAACTGAAAGACAAGTTGACAACAGAGCTTGACCTTAAAGAAGAAAGACAACCTCTCAGCCATCCAGACTGGAGCAAAAAACTCTGGAGAACAAAGAGTATGGGGCCAACAAATGCAAAAACAGAGCCACAGTCAAAGACTGTACGTACACCTAAGTTCAGTGAATGAGGAATATCAAAAAGTAGTCCATCCACAAACACTTTGAGCATAGTTTGCAGAGTGCATTAGATTTAAGTCATCATAGTGAGCACTTGACACAAGTAAGAATGTGCATTTAGGTTTTTTAACTGAAAACTGATTGAATAGTTTAAATTTTTAATTTTTTCATGGCAGCGTTATCAAAATTTTATTGCCAGATAAAATTTAGCAACTGACAGATCTGGCCAATAAATTGTATAAATATTTTTTTTAAGAATGTAACAGCCATCTGGCTAAGCCAGGTACCTCACTGTGTTTGTAAGTGTCCTGACCTAGAACCCCCCCACCACCACCTAGAGAGCATAGTAAATTCCAGGGAGTTCACTATGCAGTCTGCTGAGGAAATTGAAGTTTGGAAGAGAAGAGTTTAATATTAGGATATTACAGGTGTTAGATCTGGGAGTGTACTAATTTCTTCTTTCAACTTCCAACCTTGAAGAACATGCATGGTTTTAAAAAAGATTTACAGTATTTTTTGTAGTAAGTTTTCACTGAGGTGAAAATAGAAGATAATTCTTAAAGCAAAATTATTTTAAAAAATAAAAGTTTGAAGTTGAATTTAAGATTGATCAGTATTTTATATGCAGCTGCTGCTGTTTTATATCAAGGAGATAAAACTTGAATAAAATATGAGATATTCATGAACACTTTGTTGCCTAGAAAGGTGTTGTACAGAGATGTTATTTGTCTTGCAAAGAGGGCAGACACAGTTAATTGGATTGTGTACGCTTCCACTGTGTTATGGAGAAAGTGATCAAAGCCAATCAGAGTACAGATAGTTACGTGTATCTCAAGGAGCCAACATGAACTCAAAGTGAAAACAAGAAAACTACCAAAAAAAATGGAAAAATGCAAGTGAAGGAGGTGTTTATTGATTTTATTGATTAGTTTTTGTATTAAATCTGGTTGATTAAGTGAGCTGCTGGGAATTTTTGACCAGTCACTCAGTGTAGTGAAGCAAAACCAAAACAAACCCAGATTACCTCTATACTCATTTAACATTGCACTGACTAATAATAACAGAAACAATGAAACTGCATATCATAAGAAAATAAATGCAATTGAGCGAGGCAGAATCATGCACTCTCAGTTAATAATATCTGGTGGAGTGGAAGTTGAGAATGGAGTTTTTTTAGACCAATCACAGAGTAGAGGAACTCAAAACCAATTGTAACCAATCCTTGGTTGATCTTGGAACTATTATTTGAAAATTGCATTGCTCAGATATTATGTCCAAATTTTAACCTGCCCATCCCACCCACAGGTTGCCACCCAGCTGGGTAGGGTGGGGTGGTAGGCAACATCTGTGCATGGAGCAGAGTGAGCCTCTATTGTCCTCATCACACGAGCTGTGCTGTGATCATAGAAAAATATTTTCCCATCTGCTGAGCCAGAACAAATTATTTTTCCATCAGGACTGAAATCACATCCAATATGATAACCACAAACCTAAAGATTAATAAGAAAGAAGTGCTCAGTTTTATTGAATAGTTTTCTTGTTGAGCTTTTTACATTCCCTTAAAGGATGGATCTGACTTTGAAATCTGCTTTCATGTTACACTTTCTACATCACACAGTTTTCAACATGAGAGTAAAAATCATTCTGTTTTCTTTATGAATTGTGAATGAACATTATTTTCTTGAGGCGGTGAGCCAAAGATGGGGTGGGAACTGTGGCATGTGAATGGGGATTCCTGACAAGGAATTAATGTGGGGGGTGGGGGAAAGCTTGTTTGAAATAGGCCTGTCACCATGGGGACTTGTAAACCAAAGGATTTTCACTGGAACAATTTTTTTTCTCAGATGGACCAACCTTTAATAGGAGGGAATTTTTAAGGATTTAATACTTTAATAAGGCATTTGTTGTAATTGTACTTTATTAAATTTTATTACCTTATGGCCTTCATATCTTTTGAACTTATTCAGCTTGTATGGTTTTCTTGTTGAGAACAAAGCAATGTAGTCACCATTTGACTGTGCCACAAAATGTGATTCGTAAGGGTGGACCTTCAAGCAAGTGCATGTAAAGGCTTCCTGAAAATACCAAAATTAATATACTTTTATCATCCATACGTAAAATTCAAGTGATTAGCATCTAATTTCTCCATATGATATCACCCCTGAATGACACCTCAAGGTCACAAGAATAAAAAAAATGATCACCAACTAAAGATCCTCTTGATTACTCAACAAATTCTCCTTGTCAGCATCTTAGGAAATGTGTAAAGAACAGTACAGAGAATATACATACTGATGTCAGGGTGTAAAGGGTTTGGGGTACTTTGCTTAAAGTGCAGTCTAATAATTACCTGATAAATTTGATTTGATAAAACTGCTGTTGATCTAAAATCCCACACCATGATCCCCTTGTCTGTTGAATTCCGTCTGACAACTTCAGCAGCAGAAACAAATTCTTCTGCTCCTGGTAGAAATGCTATATCCTGTACTTGACCAAATAGAGCTGAGTATGTTGATGCAATCTACCAAAAAAAATCTTCCCAATGAAAATTCTATCCAATTATTATCCTACTCTGGTTCAGTAACAAAAAAATGATTCCCATCAAGTAGAATTAACCTCTGTGGCTGGCATTTTTTTGGCAGCCTGACCACTTTTATTTGTGTCAAGCGCTCAAAAAGTCACCAGTTGTGATGGCTTGTTTACAATCTGTTTCCTCCCCATCTGAGAATTATATAAAACAGTGTTCACATTGTTACAGCTCTCGTATCAGTTGATAGGAGTTAATCACTAATGCTTGTAATGGGGGTGCTGTCTTGGGCTCCATGGCACTAGCCTCAAAGCTGCAAAACCTCAGACTAGCCTGTATCTGGGGACTTGGAAATACTGGACCAATTAATTTGCCTTCACTAGCATGTCACATCTCTTTTTCATCATACACAGGAAAAAAATGCAGCACATCTTGGGAAATTTTGCAGATTTAAATGGACCTCAAAACTCTCTCTTCGCTCTAAGGTAAAAGGAACTTCTTAAAATAGGAAAATGTGTTATTATTCTAACAAGAATTGTTACATGAAGATTTTAGGACATCTGTCCAGTAATTGTGCACTTACACTTCCAGTCCTTCTGTCCCAACATAGAATGGAAGATTTAAAAGTCCCAGCTAAGAACAGGTTGGGATTACTGGGATGAAACTGGACACAAGTCACGTAGTTTCTGTGTGGACACACTTTGATTTCCTTTCCTGTCAAAATAAGAAGCAACATAAATCAATAAAATCAATTTAAGCATCTAATTTAATCACAGACATGCTTTGTAGCACGAAACATAGGAATATAGAATAAACACCAAATCAATGAATGCTTAGCCCAAATAACTAACACTGTCAATACACTACCAAACTGATAACATTAACCCCTTGAAATGCACAAAGAACAAGTGCAAGGGCAGGAAGGGGAGGGAGAAAGCTCCAGCTCTCCAAGCAAATGTTTGATAAGAGGCTCAGCCCCTAATGTTTCAGGCTCCACAATACTGCAGGCACAGCATAAAATTAGTCTAGAAAAATATTCAGTCTTGTAATCTTTTTCAAATCATTTCATCAGGATTATTATATGTGCAAAATTATATGTGGTACTAAGCCTTTTTAGCTTTGAAAAGCACCAGTCTGTGTTTCAAGACGAACACATTAGGAATTTTTTTGGTTAATTTGAGTAACAGTTTTTACCTGGCTTAACCCTTAACTCCTAAGAATGACTAACATCAAATTTTTCCTTACAACTGTATATCACCCTTGAATCAAACATTAAGGTCATGAGGATGAATGAAATGATCACCAACTAAAGAAGTTCTACACTGCTAACCAAACTCTCCTTGTGAGCACCTTAGGAAACATATAGAGAACAGTATGGAGAATATGCATACTGATGTTAGGATGCAAAGGGTTAATATACTGGATGAGTTTCTCCCACCCACCCACCCTCAATCACACACACACACACTCACACTTCAATGTGCTGCACCACACCTGAGTATACAAGATAACACTCTCCTCCTAGTTATGTTTCCCTAACCCTATCACTGGTCTCTTGCTTAATGTTTTCATAATGCACAGGGAAGTTGTACATCAGTTCACAACTTTTGTTTATACACCACAATAAATGTTTCAAATACCTGTTTCTACATCAAACAGTCTCGCAGTTTTGTCATAACCACAACTCAACACTTGTGACCCACAGTGACTCCATTTGGCATCTTTTACTGCTTCAGTATGACATGTCAAACTTTGCATACAACCTCCACCTTGCCGTGTGTCCCAAACACAAACTGTGCGATCCATCGATGCTGACACCAACAAATGATTATTACTCTCTGTAACATTCCATCGGATGCAGTTAACACCCTGGGTGTGACCTTTAAGATTTAAATGTAACTTCTTTGATGGTTTGCATACTTGATCTGTGCCCTTGCGGTTTAGAAATTTAGCATCATCTGGGTGATAATTTGCCCCTTTCAAAGAGCTATTTCTCAAGGTTAAATCAGTTTCTTGTGACGGATGATTCGCCATAAGGGATGAGGATATTGCTTGAGCCAATTTCTCTTTTTGTCTCTTAGACACGTAAGGTTTGACGTTTGATCCTGAACTTATCGAAGATGACTTCGTTTTCTGGTTACCTGAATCGAACAATGCTGCAGATTTCGTATTTTTCTCAGTACTTGTCCGGAAATAACCACACGCAGAGGTTTTGTGTTTATCATCAATTAAGGGTTCACAAAAATCATTTTGAGTACTCACCAATGAATTACAGGCGTTTACAATCTGTTTTGATTCAGTAAGGTTATTTGGAAATAATCTATATTGCTTTCCAGGCTTGAAATGAGATTCTAACTTTCCATTCTCGGTTTTTCTACTGCTCCCCGCGTAAATTATGATGTTATCAGATTCCGTAACCTTTGGTTTCTTTTTCGGGGACTCATCGCTCTCTTCAGACGATGAACCACTGTCGTATGCAAGTAGACCTTCCATAATTCACCGGACTATTGTAGGAGTAAATTTAATACGGTGCCGCCATTTTGATTATACAAACTCATCCTCAGGACCTCTCGGAAAAATAATCCAAGATGGCGGAACCCGGAAGTAAACTACCCGGAAGTAAAAGCCTAAATTACAAACGCGCAATTTACAAATTTTATTTGACTATTTTTTCCCTAATTTTCTGTTGCAGTTCTAATAGAAAGTGATAAGAAATTCTTCGTCCGAAATCCACCATAAACAACTAAAAACACAATATAACTGGTTGCTTGCGAACGGAGTCGGCAGATTTCTGATCTT